TGGCTCTCCATGCTGGTGTGCTCTGCAGAGACCTAGCAGCCTCACTGGCACTCGGCAGAGCTCCTGTGCCTTTCTGGTTTCTTCTCAGAGATTTGTCACACTAGTTAACAGCCTCGAATCTTGGAGCGCTTTAAAGACCTTTCTTTTCTAGTGCGCGCTGTGTGTGTCTCCCTGGGCCTTCTAGTAGCATTTTCTCTCGCTCTTCAGTTTAGAAGTAGCAGTTTCCAATTTTCTAAAAAGATGATCTACAGAGTCCTGGGTTTTTCAGCATAGGTGACTAAACTTTATTTTTCCTAAATTTCTTTGTTTTTGACACAACATTTTTTATATAGTCTCAGCTGATCTTAAGCTCCCAGCATCCTCCTTCTTCAGCCTCTCTAGTGCTGGTATTACAGCATGCCTGACTCTCCCTAGGTTCTGATGCCATTACTGTTCCCTGCAAGAAGATAAAGGCCCTTTTCACTCTTCAGCTTCTTCCCTCCCTTTTCATCACTGGACAGTTTTCTTTCTTGTTGTGTAAACCTCTTTTCCCTGACTTCTTTGCTGCTGTGTTTCTGCTTTTCCTCCAGCGCCTCTGAAGCCTTTATTTCCCAATGGTTCTACTCTCACCCCTCACTTGTCCTTCTGAAGGACCTGTGGATTCATTTCACTAAATCTCACTCTTTCTTGAACTCAGGTCTCTCTGATTCCTGACTTTAATTGAATTTTTTTATTAATGTCTTTTTTTTTCAGTTCCTCTATCTCCATTCATTGGGTCATCATTCTTTTATCTCCCGAACTAGAAACTTTGACAAAAACCTGTCTCTTCCATGACCTTGTTCTATTTTAAAATCAAATTTTAATTTCCATTTTATTTTATGCTTATTTTTTAGTGGTGCTGACCCTGTGTATGTCAGCCCAGTGCTCTAACTGAGAGTTCCTAACTCTCTGAGAGTTCCTAGTCCATCCTTTACTCCTTGCATCTGTAATTCCAGCTGCTTGACAGACTTCTGCCCCTCAGCTGAGTCCCTAAAGCCATTCTTTCTGGTGTATTCTCCTTCTAGTTGATCTGGCCTGTGGAGTCTTTTTAAAATCCATATAGTTTATTATATAAGGAATATTGAATATGTTCTTTTTGGGAGATGACAGGATGAAAATAATAGAGTCTGCTCCATCTCACCATCTCTAGTAAAGATGTTAGTGATGCTCCTTCAGTCTCATCTCAGGTGATCTCCAGTCCTTAGTGATGGAGCATGCACTAGACTGTTATCCCTCAAAACTGAGAAAAGCCCAGGAGAGTGTACACTAAAGGTTGAAGCACACTATCTTAACAAGAAGTAGCCCTTGTTTCTAAAACTGGCTACCAAGAAATAGCTGAAATTTAATTCCTGACTTATTTCATAGTCACCTTGCCCTTAATTAACTACTGAAAGAATGAGTTCTTACCCTGGTGTGATGACTCAGACCTCCACTTCCAAGGTGTCTGAGTCATTGTTGGTATGTATAGGATTACTTTAGACTTCTATCCACTTTACCTCAAGGGGTGCCACCGTGTGGGTGGAGAGGAAGGAACTGATCCAAATTTCCATAACCAGCTGGTGGGGCCTGGTATAGACATTATTATATAGCGGAGAAAGAAAAAAAAAAGAAGTCATTTCCTTATTCCTTACACGCAGAATTTCAGAAAACTGGTCCAAGCCTAAACTTCTCATTTATAAAGTAAATGGAGATGCCTTCCTGTGATGGTTGATGTGAGAGTTAAACATAAGATGCTGAGAGAACGCTTGGCATGGAGTTGCTGCCTACTTTTGCCCCTTTCCTTTTCCTTCAGTTGAAGGCGCCTGGGTTTTATAAGTCTTCTGACTTCCTCTTAAGACTAGGATGAGGTCAAACATTTGTTGCCTTCTGCAGCTAATGAAATCTTTACCAGCCTTTTGAAAATATCAGTACCTTTTTGTGCCAGGATGGGACCTGGCAGCAGATCCCGGAACTGCAGGCCGCAGATCCCCAGGAGGGAGCCAGTCTGTGCAGCTGAGGGATCTGGAGATGGAGTTTTCCACCACATGATCTTACTCTTCTTATAGATATTATAAAACTGCTCCCTGGCAAAGGCTCAAGATGGCAGGAACTGAGAAGAAAGAATGCACTAGGTCCCGTCATATATGGAAGGTAGATGCTCCTGTCTTCTTGCCAATTTCTAAATAACCGTGGAATAGCTCCAGCATTCCTTCCTTAGTCTGCCCAGCTAGGGGACAGTCTTCTGTAGTTTGCATCTAAGTGTATACTGGCACAGACATCTCATTTTCTCTTATTGCAGAAGCAGGAGATGGCCAGGCATGGTGATACTTGCCTGCAGTCCCACCACTTAGAAGCAGGACGATGAGTAGTTCAAAGACAGTCCCAGGTACTTAACAAGTTTGGGCTATCCTGGACTATATGAAACCCTGCCTTAGAAAATAACAGAAAATTCAGGGGAGCAGTAAGCAGATGTCTTGGTTTTGGACATGAGGTTCCCGGACAGACTCACTGTGTACTTTCTTGTGAGTGAATTGAACTAGGAAAGAAAGCAGGTGACATGGAAAGCACATGTCAGGAAATCACCTTTTCACATGGGAACAAATTAAAATTGGTGTTTATTTTGAGACAGGTCCTTCCTGTGAAGCCTAGGATGGTGTCAAACTTTCAATTTTCCTGTCTCTGCCTTGCTAGTGGTGGTAAAATGTTTATCCTTAGATGGAAGACCTGTACGTAAAGTATCTTTTCATTATTCTATTATTTTCACTTGGTCTGAATGATCATATAAAGTCCAAGTGAAAGGCAACCACAGATTGTTTTATGATTAATAAACACAAATTGAGAAAATCTCAGGCAATTTTTTTTCAGAGCTGGAGATTAAACCCAGGGACACGTTGTGCTAGAAAAGTAGCTACACCTTCTGAGCTTTGAGTTTCTGTCTGTCTCTTGGGCTCTTGTCATGCTGGACAGAGACAGCAAACCTCAGCACCAGTCATGTGAACTGGGGAACAGCAGCAGATACCCTGCAGTGTACTGCACTGCTAAGCTGGGATGTTTAGTAGCAGAGCTGTATTCAATCATTTGTCTGATTTTAGTTCACAGTGGGTTTAATCAGATCTAATTCCATCATTGGTCCGAGGCCTTCTTAATTCTCACCAATTATAAGCAATTGCTTCCACTTGGAATTCTGTCTCTTATTTTTATTTATCAATTTATAGACCATTGTCATCTCTGCTCTTGTTCTCTTCTGATCTTTCCCAGTGTTTTGCACAATAGGTCTCCACTAAGTGGTGTTGATTATCTACATCCCAAATTTATTGAATTAACATTTTTTCTGACTTGATGGGTCCAAGGACAAGATAGAAGGAAGAAAATCTGGAGCTTTGAAGTTGATGAGAGTCCTCTGCCTGCAGTATCCAGTGTTTGCAGTCCATCCACGACTGTATGGTGGGGTGAAGGAAAGCTTTCTGGCTGGCTCCCTTACCTCCCTCTAGCCAGCTTCCTTTCTTTGAACACCACAGTCTGTTCTCTCTTTATTAGTTACCTGTTACTATATAACATATCACTTCAAAACAAAATTATTTATAATCTTTTATAGTTTCTGTGGGCCAGGAACACAGAAACAGACTTGGCAGTGTGGTTCTGACCAATGTCTCATGTGGTTGTTGTTAGATATTTCTATGACTTAGACATCTAAACTCTTGACTGTAGGTTTGAGATTCATTTGCAAGATCACTCACATGGCTACAGGTTGGTACTGGCGTGCTAATCTCCTCCACATGGACCTCCAGCGGTCTGTGTGTGCCCTCACCTTATACTAATTTTCTTCCTTGGCAATAGATGCTCAACATCACAGAAACTATAACACCCATGTAATGGAACTCTAAAAAGTCACATTTTATTTCTTCTCTTATGTTCTTTGGTTTGTTTCGTTTTGGGTTTTTTGTTTTGTTTTTCAAGACAGGATTTCTCTGTTTAACAGCCCTAGCTGTCCTAGAACTAGCTCTTGTAGACCAGGCTGGCCTTGAACTCATAGATCTGCCTACCTCTGCCTCCCGAGTGCTGAGATTACAGGTGTGTACCATCACTACCTGGCACTTCTCATATGTTCTACTAGTAATGTAGGTCATTCCTGATTTATTTGAGTTTGTTCATTGCCATTGTCATTATTAATTCAAAGTCCTATTCTACATCATTAACTTTGAGTTGTTACCTTCCTTAACCCACTCTCCGCATTGTTGCTTCCAGAGTCTAGTTTGAGGATATTGTTCTCTTACCCATCTTTGGGAACCAAGATGTATACTACTGAATGAGTAAAAAGGGTATTTGTTGTTTCTTCATTAAAATACATTACAGACTTAGTAACCTAAAGCAACACACCTTTGTTGTCTCAAGACTTCATGGATCCTTTGTAAGTCTGCAAACAAGGTGTCAGTTTGGTTTACCTTTCTGCTGAGTCTCCACTGCAGAAGAATCTGTTTCCAGAATCATGTGGTTATTGGCAGTATTCGGTTTCTTGTAGAGATGCTGATCCTAGGGTCTTAGTTGCTTTCTGTCCCTTTTTCCCTCCTTGCTAGCTTAAGAGAAACCACCCTTAGTTCCCTGCCACATGGCCATCTTATAGCATGTCAACTGGCTCAACTAAGCTAACAGGGCAGAGTGTCTTTCAGCAAGACAGATGTTAAGGTACTTTGTACTGTAACTCCTGGAAGTAGTCATGTACATTACACTCTGTTACATTTCCCTCATTCTGTTAGTCAAAAGCAAGAAACAGATCGTACTCATACTCCGGGTGAGAGAGGAGGGTGGGAAGCTGTGGAAAGGTATGAATACCTTAGGGAAGAATAACATAGGCCATCTGAAAGTCTTTCTGCCTCCCTGTGTGTCTGCTGCACCCTGTGCAGTTCTTGATATACATAGAGTAAATTCCAGCATCTGAATGAATAATGTTATGTTTTCAACACCAACTTGAGAATCTGTCTTTTCTTCTTTCTCTTCTATTTCAGAGTTACTGGTTCATTCCTGAGACATATCTACTCTGAGCCATCCTCATGGATGAACTTCAGGATGTTCAACTCACAGAGATCAAACCACTTCTAAACGATAAGGTAAAGACTGTTTTGCTTTAGCTAAAATATATACAGATGGTTTTCTTCTGCTATTAATTTCTTATATCATCAGAATACTAAGTAGAACACTTAGCTTGATTTTTAATGGTGGGAATATTTGTAAAAACTCATTTCTTAATCTACTCTTTGATGTCTCCCTCACTTTTTCTTTTCTTTTCCATGGGAATATTCAGTGATTTTTTAAAAAGTTTTCTTACTTTATAGAGATCTGAAAGGGAAAAAAAAATGATACGACTAATTTAAATAGAAAGTCTAAAGGTAACAATTGATTTGGGGTCCAAATGCTTTGACTTTTAGTTTCTATAAGGAGATTTTAACATGCATGGCTAGTGATAGATACAGACTGCAATGCTCTCTCAAAAGCTTGTTGAGTCTACAATGTGACCATCAATATCACCATTTTCATCAGGGATAAATGTCAGTAGTATATCTTATTTTTTTTTTTTTTTTGGTGACAAAGGTGTTAGTTGTTTGATATAGGGTTTCTCTGTGTAGCCCTGGCTGTCCTGTAACTCACTGTATAGACCAGGTTGGCTTCAAACTCAGAGATCTGTGGCGCACCACGCCCATCTGTGCTCTATGCACCACCATACAGTTCATGAACCAGGCAAGGGGCTGGAGATTGAAACACACAAAGACTTACAGACAGAGAGAGACACAGGTAATCCTTGTGCAGGAAACAGGAATGCCCCCCTTATTGTGTGCAGGGGCAGCTTATATAGGGATTCTTAACTGCTAGCCACGCCCCAGCCAAACCTACCAGAAACCACTCCCCTGCCATCAGGAACTCCTGAGGGTCTCGTGCTCAGAGCAGCTGCAAGCTGTCTCAGAGTAGAGGAAAACAAGTTGTTTACAAGAAATTCAGGATCTGGGGGTTCACAGCTCCCAACAGAGATCCACCTGCCTCCGCCTCCTTAGTACTGGGATTAAAGGTGTGCACTACCATGCCTGGCAGAGTATATCTTATTTTTATCTTAGCTTTAGAGAATTTCATGATGAATGGCATAGTTGACAGCCACTAGGACTCAGCAAATGCAAGTTATGATGTGAGGAATCAAACATTAAGACAAACAGATCTCTCTTGCCCCTCCCTGGTCAGTGTACACATCAGAAACTCTTTCCTACACTATTCTTTTGGTTTATTGTCCTAGTCTGTTAAATTACTTTATAGCTTGGTGTGAGTCCATAACATCCTTCGAGGAAAGAATTGGGAGAGTGTATGGATAGGGTGAATGGGTAGGAAAGGGTTAGAGCACCAAAAGATGTTGATGCTAATGATCTCTTTCTGTCCAAAGGAAGGCCCTTTATGGCGTCTAGCTCTGCTGACTTACATCTCTACTGCATTATATATAATATATTATCTTGCATCCTGCCCGCCCTGTACTCATCCCTGTGACTTCTTCTGTCTGTCACACCCTTTCTTTGACTTTCACTAGACTTTGTGTTCTCTTCTTTGGCAGTCTGTATTTTTTTTAACACCCTCTTGACTTCTGCACATCCCTCAACATGCTTACAGAAATCTCTATCCATTAAATACCATCTTTCTATGTATATGGAGGATTGTACCTAAAATAATGTGCCATGAAGAGGAGGAAGGAGCTAAAATCTAGAGCTGTAAAGCTCATTTCTGGCTACAGAAATGAATATTCTCAGGGCAGGGAAAAGCAGACCATTTGGCTTCAGTAAGTAAATAACCTGCCTCAGTCTTGCTAACCATCAGAATCAGGTCCCGGATACCACTCCAGACCAGTCTGAGAGGTAAAGACTGTGGTTGGTCAGTAGGTGTCAGCTTTGGCTTCTTGTTGGAATTACCTGTGGAGATGTAAAAATCCTTGATCCTGAGTCATCCCTCCTTACTGGTTGGTACCTCACTGGACTGGTCTGGGATATAGTTAAGTTGTTTTGTTCATACCAAGGACTGAACCAAAGATCTTGTACATGCTTGTCAAGTTTTCATCTACTAAGCTACCCACCATCTTAGTTATTGTTTTGAGACAGGGTCTCACTATGTAATTCAGACTGGCCTGAACTCTGGATTCTCATTTATGCCATGTCTTGCCTGTTCAACATTTTAAAAAGCTCCCAAGATTGAGATTGGACTCCAATTGACTTTGATTGGCCAATGTTAGAAGCACATGACCTGATTGACTTCAGATACTTGAAGACTGAGACACAAGTAAATGCCCCTCCCTGGCCCTAAAAAGTCACAAGATTACTGAGGAGGCATGTAAATGCAGAAGTGAATGGTCTGTGTATATCACAGAAAGGGCAGCTGAAGAAGGAGAGGGGTGGTGGCTATGTCTATAGGAAAGCACTGAATTGGGACTGAACAGATGGCTCAGTGGTAAAGAGTGTATATTGCTCTTGCAAAGGGTATGAGTTGGGTTCCTAGCATCCAGGCTGGGCAGCTCACAACTGCCTATAACTCCAGCTCCAGTAGACCTGATGCCCTTTTCTGGCCTCCATGGACACCTGTATGTTCATGCACATACTCCCACAAAGGCACATACACATAATTTGCAAAAAGGAAAGAAAATCTCTGGATTAGTGTCTGAGCCTCTCTAACGTCACAGAATGCTTCAGCTGGGTCTGATGTGTGTCTTAACAGTACAGAATGGACTGTGTTGCCCCCAACTTTACACACAGAAACTTCAGTCCCCACCACATGTGACTTTTGGAGAGGAGGCCTTGTGATGGTTTGTTTTAATTGTCAGCTTGTGATGTATAATTACCTGGAAAGGCAATGAGGGATTGATTATCTAAACTAGGCTGGCCTGTGGGCATTGTCTTGATTATACTAGATGATGTGGGAAGACAGACTAGAAGTAAGCAGCACAGTCTCTGGGTTTGAGTCCTGGACTATGTGAAAAAGGAGAAAGCAAGCTGAGCACTGCAAGCATGTAAGTTCTCACGCTTTCTCTGTTTTTGACCAGCTGCGAGCAGCTACTTCAGGTTCCTCCCACCTGACATCCCAGTTATAATGAATAACCCGGTTTGTGAGCTAAAACAAAACCGTTCTTTCCTAAACTGCTTTTGTTAGGTTTTTTTTTATATTTATTTATTTGTTATGTATACAATATTCTGTCTGTGTGTATGTCTGCAGGCCAGAAGAGGGCACCAGATCTCATTACAGATGGTTGTGAGCCACCATGTGCTTGCTGGGAATTGAACTCAGAACTTTTGGAAGAGCAGGCAATGCTCTTAACCACTGAGCCATCTCTCCAGCCTCCTTGTTAGGTGTTTTTATTATAGCAACAGTACAAAACTAAGACAGACCTTTACAGGAGTGCTTGAAGTTCAGTAAAGGCAGAAGCATAGAGCCTAATCTGATAGGGTTGGTGGCCTCTCCCTGTTACCAGATGAGGCATAGTGAGAAAACAGTTATCTGTGAAGCAGGAAGAGCCCTCATCAGAAACTGAACTGAGCCACAATCTCGATCTTAAACTTTGCAGCTTCCAGAGCTGTGAGGAACTAACCTCTGTTGTTGTAAGTCTTCCTATCTGTGTTATTTCATTGTGACCCAGATAGATTGACACCAAGCAAAGTCTTACTCCCTAACATCTGTCAGTTCTTCTTTGATATGCTTGTTCTGTTCCCAACCACTTCCCACATTCCATCTTGCTTCTTCCTCTCCCTGAGACATGTTCATGTCCCATTTACTATTCATGAGAGTCCCATGTCCAGACTGAGTAACCAGAGTTCCCTTTGAACAGTGGTATTCCCAAAGAGCCCTACCTCATATCCTCCTATCTTCACTGATCTCAAGTATTCCCTGGTATTTGAACACTGCCAGCTTAGCTCAGTAAATTGGTACTTTTGTGTAAAAGAAACTGATGAGGAAAATGCCTCTCATCCATCCCAACCATTTTATTTGATGCTCTAGGTAGCTTGGTGAGATAGAGAGCACAGATAAATGTATTTCCATATTGCCAAGTAAACTAATGCTAAGAAAGGAAGTAGCTCTCTAGATTGAGTTCCAAATAATGCTTGCAGGATTTCTTCATATTGGCACTGATGTTGTTTTAGACTAGATATTCTTTGGGACACTATTCTGTGCATTGTAGAATGTTTAACAGTAACTTTGGCCTGTACCCACTAGAAGCTACTACCTCTCCTCTAGTGGTGGCAACGAAAAAGTCTCCAATATTGCTAAATATCTTCTGGAGTGCAAAGTCCCTGGATGACAGACAATTAAGAAAGCCCCTGGGTTTAAATGGGTAGATGTCATAGACAGTTTTGTTGTTGCTTTGATTTCCTTCCCTCTCTTCCTCTCTTTCTTCCATTACTCCTTTTCTTCATTTTTTGTGGGGTATGACCTGTCCAGCTGTTATTTTATTTATTATATATACAATATTCTGTCTCTGTGTATGTCTGCAGGCCAGAAGAGGGCAAGAGACCTCATTACAGATAGTTGTGAGCCACCATGTGGTTTCTGGGAATTGAACTTAGGACCTTTGGAAGAGCAGGCAATGCTCTTAACCACTGAGCCATCTCTCCAGCCCCCAGCTGTTATTTTTTTATGAAGTACTTTTTATGTGACAAGTGCTTTATGTGACATTCTCTCTTAGTGGTCAGATTATCCCTTTGAAGTATTAATCTTCACTTAGCAAATAAAAGTAATCTGATTGACAGGCCAGCTTGCCAAGTCAGTAAGTGGTAGAGCTGGGACTGAAACCCAAGTCTTTCCTGTTTTGAAATGTTTTTCCCAATGTCATAACCATGTAGACTTTGTGTGATTTCTCTTGTCCCTTTAAGGAGCAGCCTAGAGATGTATATTATTTTACCCCATCTTTTTCTTTATAATTTGCTCTTAGGATAAGACATTACTAAACCCTTTCATGCTTCAAGAAACTAAAGAGAATGCAGACCAACCCTACTGTAGAGAAGCGTGTCCTGGGTGACCATAAGGAAGCACTTTCCATGTATTTTAAGAGACGCTTATGTTAACTTGTCTTATCACTCATGGTGTTCTTCCATTT